CGTGGATGATGATGATGATGATGATGATGATGATGATGATGATGATGATGATGATGATGATGATGATGATGATGATGATGATGATGATGCCATTCCTTCTTTTTCTCTTCTATTCACCTTTTTTTGTTGTTCTTCTTGTTTTTAATTCCAGGGAGTTGACAGGAGACAAAGAAGTACCATTAGATTGGCAAGGTGGTCTCAACCTCACTTACAAGACAGGGCCTGGGTTTCTACAACCAGGCTGGTAGGTCTCTTTATGTCCCTTTGTAGTTCCTAATGCCCTTGCACAATCTGTGCATAAATACATGTATGTTCAGTCAAACTTGTCGAAAAGGGTCACTCAAGATCACAAAGAAAGGTGGCCGTAGTAGACCAGTAACCATAATGGAAAAGGACCAAATTATGGTCTCTAACTTTGCTTTTACTTTTGCTTTTTCATCCTCTGCTGCCTTTAAGCGTCGAGGAGAGGGGCAGTTTTCTATTGTAGGCCAACTTTACAGCTCTTTCAATTGGGATGTTATGATTTCTCAGGGTTTCCATGACTTCCCCAGTTCATCTTTTGCATTGCTTACCTCTTCCTCTATAGCCTGAGTACTTGGTGTTATAAGCTCTCGAAGCCAGCTGGTTAGGTGACATTCGTAACAGGTCCCTAACCAGACTTTATATATACAGCCAATTTAAAATCTTAACTTTTTGTTCTGTTTCCATCAACATTGTTATCAATCACGAGAGTGTCTTTGCTCTGATTGAGCGAAACCACTCAGTTTGAGTTTAAATTTGTTTATTGTCCTTATCATTTCCTCACAGGAAAGTCCAGCTGAATGTTACGTCAAGCAACCAGAGAGCTAAAGCTGAGAACGTTTTTGGAATCATCAGGGGCTCTGTAGAACCTGGTAGGTTATGAATCGTACTCCCATTCGTCTTCTTTCCCTTTTGTGTCTTTTTCAATCAAATCCGCCATCTATATCTTTCCAGGGAACTCCAAGGAAAGATTTGCAGTTAATTCCAGGTGAATGTATCGTGGACTCTACAATACTGCGTTTTGTTTTGTTTTGTCTTTAAGCATCTCATGTTATTCTCAGGTCACAGTGTTCTTTTTTGAGTGGCCCAATCATTTGTAGACATGTTCCTGAGAGCATTATTGATTCTTATTCTATAATGGAATAACGGTTTCGCAACTTTTACAACAACATATTATTCCCTCTCTCTCTCTCTCTCTCTCTCTCTCTCTCTCTCTCTCTCTCTCTCTCTCTCTCTCTCTGTCTATCTGTCTCTCTCTCTTTCTATGTTTCTCTCCCACACCTCTCTGTTTAACACACTCTCTCTCTATCTTTCTATGTATTCACCTATCTCTCTTCCTCACTATTTCCCTCCCTGTATCGTGTACAACTCTTGTACAACAACCACAAAGCTAACACCGTCTGTTGTGAAATTACTTCTAGTCTCATAGAGACCCCAGCTGCTACGCTGTCGTTTTTAGCGACTTCACAAGTACAGGTATGAAGGGAAGGAATTAAGCGGAGAAACACAATACCATTTATACCGCCAGGTGAGGCAGACATAAAATATTGTCCCGTATCAGTGTCGTGTAAGAAGCTGAAATCCGAAATTTGGATTTACTTTTTGGAATAATAACTTAAGACGAAGTTTAATGATAAAAAAAAAATTGGGTAGTGTGTTTTTAACCCAACCCCACTTCGCCGCCCCTGCCCCC